TCCTCCCCTCCCCCCACACGCGGGGAGGAGAGAATGGGAAAGGGGAGGGCGAAGGGGAAAGAAACGGAAAATGAAATTTTATTAAAATGTTTGCTTTTTGCTGTTGTTTTCCCACGTGCGAGCACACACACACACACACACACGCGCGCGCGCGCGCGTAACACAAACGTGCGAAGAACGAAACGATTTATCAAAAAAAAATTAAATTTAAATTTTTTCTTTTTCCACAGAATAAATAAACAAGTTTTCTGTTTTTTTTTCCCATTTTCCCGCGCATTACGATTTGAAATGAAGTTAATAATTAAACGTGAATCAAAATTATTATTACGTGACGTAATTACACACATATATATATATAAATTTTTTTTTTTTTCGACTTCCGTAATTTCGATATATCGTGATGCGATATTATTATTTAAAAAATATAAAAACGAAGAAGGAAGGAATTTCGAGAGTTGACCGGTCGGTTGGTCGGGAAAATTTTTTTTTTTTTTTTTTTTTTAATAAGATTCGTTTGAAAAAATTATTTCCGTTAATTAAGTTTTTAACTTTGTTTGGGAAAATTATTAACGAGCTACCGACCGCGTATTAAGTGTTTTGCTCAATTTGAAATAATGATAATAATAATAATAATAATTAACGAGAGTATATGAAAAAAATTTAGAAAAAAAAAAAAGGGAACGAACGGAGTCGGGGGAGGGGGAAGGGGGGAAACAAAAAAAAAAAATTGTATGTTTTACCTCCATTTTGTTCTCCTGTTCTGAAACCACGTTTTCACTTGAGCATCCGTCATTTTTAACGTTTTCGCTAGCGAAGCTCTTTCCGCGGATGCTAAATATTTTTGTTTGTGAAATTTTTTTTCCAATTCAGCTATTTGTAATCTCGTAAATGACGTCCTTGGTTTTTTCCGTTTCGGCGGCGTTCTATTCTGATACGGGTGTCCTATTCTCCTAGTCATTGGAAACGTTGCTGGAAAAAAAAAATAATAAAAGGATGAGTTTTTTTTTTTTTTTTTTATTGCAATCACTTAAAAACATGGCTAGCTGGTAAAATTTATTTTAATTATAATATGGCGTACGAGAGAGAGAGAGAGAGAGAGGGAGGGGAAAAAAAATTAACTATCATCATCATCATCATCATCGCCATCGTCGTTAACATAACAATAATAATCGATTCCATTTTTTTTTTTAATAACGTTGCATCGGAATAAAATTAAAAAAACGGGGGAAAAAAAACGAAAAAAAAAAAAAAACGAAAAAAAAACAAAATTCCGCGTGCACTTTCATTATCGAAATTAAAAACTAATCCGGTTTTTCAACTTTCACCCTTTCTGTTGGTTTTTTGATAACTCCTCTTCTTTGCCCTACTTCCCCCCTTCCCATATACCTTATTCATCCCCCTTCTTCTCCTCGTCGTAAGGTAAACAGAAAAAAAAAAACGTTTTTCTATATTGATTCCTTATAGGAAACGTTAAAAATCTTTCCCTTTAAATAAAATTAATCCATTTTTAATCATTTCCGGTTCTACGACCTGTGAAAAAAATGCTGTTGAAAATTTTTTTTTTTTTTTTTTTTTTTTATAAAACCACGACGGAAGCCGTATAGTTTAATAATAATAATGATAATAATAATAATAATAATAATAAGTTATCGTTTTTATATATTTAATAAATAAATTTAAAATTCAAATAATTTTTTTTTTCTTTTTCTTCTTCTTTATTTTTATTTTTATGCATTTTTTCTTTAATAATAATAATAATAATAATAATGATAATTATAATGGAAGTAAAGGTTTTTAATGGGAAAAATAAATAAAAATTAATTTATATACTTATTAAAATAATGATAATAAATAAATAAATAATACATAAAATTATAAATAAAATTTATACAAATTTATGTTAATTTTATTCGTTTTTTGCAGTTTTTTTTTTTTTTTTTTTTTTTTTTTTAACGTTGCCCCCCTTCAATTATTTTATACGTGCGTACATACATACATACATACATAAATATATTTATTTATGTATGTATGTATGTATACATAAGAATCGCATAAGTTTTTTTTTTTTTTTTTTTTTTTTTATACGCATTAATTCGGAACGAGTAGAAAAAAAAAAAAATAATAATAATGTACGTAACTAATTACTCCGTGCGGATTTATTTATTAATTTTTTTTAAATTTTTTAATTTATTAATTTATAAATATTAGTTAATAATTTTTATGGATAAAAAAAATAATGATGATGATGATGATGATGATGATGAGAGTCGTGGCGAATGAGCAAAAAAAAAAATTTCATAGCGTTCGAAATAAAAATTCTAGAAAAAATTGTAGTGGGTAAAAAAATATTAAATGGCGTCTGTTTCGGTTGCTCCTCATTTTTTTTTCCCTACGCTTTGTATTATGGCGTGCATGCGTAACATCTTCGAAACGTGATTAAAAAAATAATTTAAAAATTATGAAACCGATACTTGGTGTGGCGGCCATGTTTGTGCGTGAATGTGCGTCAATTCCCGGCCGGCATATTCGTAGTTTTTAATTTTAATTTTTTTTTTTTATCGAAAAAATCAATAAATCGATTGAAAATATAAATTGATATTATTATTATCATTATTATTATTATTATTATTATTATTATCATTATTATTATTATTATTATTATTATTATTATCATTATTATTATTATTATTATTATTATTATTATTATTATTATTATTATTTAGTTTATATGGGTTTTCGATTAGAAAAAAAATTCAATATTAAATTAATAAAAAGTTTAATAATCGTACCAAAAAAAAATTTTTTTTTTTTAGTTATATTAAGGAAAACATAAACATAAACATAAATTCAATAACATAATTATGTTATTCGAAATTGAAAAATAATTTTTTCTTTCTTTCTTTCTTTATTTACACGATTTAACCGTATAACTTTCCGGAATTGTTTTTTTTTTTTTTTTTTTTTTTTTACTCTATGATTTGACGTCCCAAAATCATAACGAAAAAAAAAAAAAAAACAATTTTAATATAATTTTGTTTGTTGTTGTTGTTAATAATTCCAACTTTTTTTTATTTAAATTAAATTAATTTTAGGCTCTTCGTTTGTTTGTTTGTTTGTTTGTAGTTATAAAATAATTAATTTTTGTTGTTGTTGTTTGGTTGTATTCGTATGAAAATATTTATTGAAATATCAAAAAAAAAAAAAAAAAATTCATTAAATTCGGTTTTTATTTTTAATTTTATTTTTGCGGTTTTTATAAAATATATTTCAAATAGTTTTTTTTATTTTCATAAAATTTTATTTTTAAGGTATAATTTATTAAATTACGATAATAATAATTGTTTAAACAAAAAAAAAAAAATTATTCGATTTTGTTGTTGTTGTTATTAATCGAAAGAAAACCTTGAAAAAGTAAAAAAAGAAAAAAAAACTCGAGTTAAATTTATTATTATTATTATTTTTTGAAAAAAAAAAAAAGACGTATTATTAACGTATCGAATATTATAATAAGTAACTATAAACGAGTTTATATTTATTTATATACGATAATAATAATAATAGTCATAATTACTTTCATAAAAAAAAAATTCACATTTCCTTTAAGTAATAATAATAATAATAATATATTTTTTTCATAACGTATTTACATTTATCTAAAAATAATAAACGTCACGTTTGTTTAAACGATGATGGTGGTGGTGGTGGTAGTGGTGGGGGTAATAATTTGTTTACAAAAACTCGTATCACGAAGTTTTTTCATAAGCAATTTATTTATTTATTTATTTATTAAGAAGGTGAAAGAATATAAAAATTAATAAAGGAGTTATGTACATATGGTAGTTATTCACTTTTGCATCATTGCTCATAAATATTTAATGGCGGAGGTGGTAGGAAAAAAAAATAAAAAAAAAAAAAATGAAAAAAAGGAAGAGAAAACAATAACGTTGATGGGGGGAGGGGAGGGGATAGGTAGGTAGGCAGGAAAAAGGCCAAACAACAGCTAAAAGGGGGCGGCGAATCGAAAGAAAAAAAATGATAAGGAACATGGGGAATATATATATAAATATATATAAAAAGAAAATTTTTTCTTCGGAAAATGAAATGAAAAAACAAGTCTCCCCTCTTTTCCATCTGTTTAATTTTTCAAAAAATATCAACCTGTTAGTTTATTATTATTATTATTATTTTTTTTTTTCTTTCTGTTGCCTGTCGTGATAATATTAAATATGGCGGTGGTGGTGGTGGGGGGGGGTAAAAACACGAGGAAGAAAAAATATAAAAAAAAGTGAGGAGTCAAAAAAAAAAAAAAAAAAAATGAAAGAGATCGGTATCGTTAAATAATATTCAAAATTATAATATGAGGGAAATAAAAAAAAAAAAAAAATGGCGACCGTTTGTTTCTTTTACAAACAAATGGAAATTCATTATTATCATTATTATTATTATTATTATTTCACGTGGACACGCCTATGTGAGAGAATAATTTGAAATGAAATTCTAATTACGTCGCGTGTTGTTTTATCCGCAATAATAATTTGCCATTATTATTATTATTTAAAAAAAAAAAAAAAATTGGTTTTGGGTTTTTATTTTTTATTTACTAATAAATGAAATGTAACTAATAACATGTTTTTGTCGTCGTATATTATCATCATTATCATTATCATTATTAATATTGAAAATCGATTCCGATATTCATTTCATAATGTAAAAAAAAAAAAAAACGTATTTTCCGTATAAATTATTATTATTATTATTATTATTATTATTATTATTATTATTATTATTATTATTATTAATTATAATTTTTTTTGTAAACGTAATAGGAAGTAACGATATTTAAAAAAAAAATTATTTTTTAAATGACCTTTGAACTCTTTAACCATTTATTAATTGTTATTGATACCCAAAAAAAAAAAAAAGTGGAAAATTTGAATATAAATTTTCCAATTAAAATTTTTACCAAGTTTTTAAAAAAAAAAAAAAAAGATTAATTTAAATCGAACCGGTTTGCGATTGTTGTTGTTGTGGTTGTTGTTGTCGTTGTTGTTGTTGTCGTTGTTGTTGTTGTTGTTGTTGTCGTTGTTGTTGTTGTTGTTGTTGTCGTTGTTATTGTTTAAAAAAAAATTTTATTTTTTCAGGAAAAAATCTGCAACTTTTTTGTTGCACACACACACACACTACGTGATTTATATACGTTTACATATAAAATAATAATAATAATAATTTTAGTTTAAGAAGATATGACGACGACGACGTCATAAAAATTCTTTCGGTGTTTTTTTTTAACGTTTAAAATTTTATTTCCCACCCCCTCTCTCTCTCTCTCTCTCTCTCTCTCTCTTTCTCTGTCTTTAAATAAATAGTGTGTTTTGTGTAGAGTCGTCGTCTGGATGAAAAAGAATAAAAAAAAAAAAAAAAAAAAAAACGTGGCACGAGTTTTTTTTTTTTTTTTTTTTTTACAAACTCCTATAAATTTTCTCATCGACCCATAAATAAATAAATAAATAAATCACCGTTTGGAGAAAAAAAAAAAAACGTTTGTAATGATTTATCAAAGGAAATTATCACGATAAAAATTTTCCAGGATTACGTTTATGCGATTTATCGTTTTATTAAAACTAATCACAAAAAAAAAAAAAAAGAAAAATTTTATTTCGTAGAAAAATAACAAAACGAAGGAAAGAAATCATGATGATAATAATAATGATAATAATTATGCCGAGTGAGAGAGAGAGAGAGAGAGATAGACGATTGCTCGCTCGAACGAGTTGGAAACCTTGACAATCGATATAAAATAATCGATATGTGATCGATTTGATCGTCGTTAGTAATCTCGGAATAATAGTAATAATATAGTCGATGATGGCGGCGATGATAATAATAATAATAATAATAATAATGGTAGTAGTAGTGACAATAATAATAATAATAGTGATAATAATGATATTTTGCAACATTCGTCCTTG